ATCAGTGGAGCAGGCAGCTGTTCCTTGTCAGAGGAGATTGGCTGCCTATCAGCACCACTGCTGGTCATTAGCTGATCCTCCCCTGTGCCTGAGGGGCCCGGGATAGCATCATCCTCAGCCCCTGCCATGCATTCCCTGTTGGATGGTCCCAGCACCAACTCTTCCTCCTCCTCTGAACTGGCCTCTGACGGGGCCATGACATTGGGATAGGTTCTTCCCTGAAATTGAAATAGAAAGAGACAGGCCAATGGTTTGTAGTGCCAAAGACATAATTAGTAGAGAGGAATGCACAGTTGTGTAAGTTTGCAGGTTTGTCTTAGACCAGTGTTTCTCAACCTTGACAATTTTAAGGCATGTGGACTTCAACTCCCAGAATTCCACAGCCAGCATTGCTGGCTGTGGAATTCTGGGAGTTGAAGTCCACATGCCTTAAAATTGTCAAGATTGAGAAACACTGGTCTAAGAATTGAAAGAGCAGATTAGGAAAGGGAAATTGTCTCATATGAAATCCAGCGAAGCTTATGCTTCTCTGCAAGTTGAGATGGTAACTCCTTTAAGGTTTTCAAGTCCCAAAACAGTGTCCAAGTGCTGCAAGGTTCACAGATCCTATTTTTGGAAACAGCAGAAGACCTGAAACTCTTGAGGCAAAATTCCTTAAAGAGATTTCCATAGTTCATGCTGCACTATAAGTGAATTGTTGCCTTTGGGATCTGGATATTTCAGACAATGGGAGGATTTGAAATCAACTAAGCTATGAAGCACAGTGGGTTTTCTGTTGAGGAGAGAGAGAGAGAGAGAGAGAGAGAGAGAGACAGACAGACAGACAGACAGACAGACAGTCAGGCACGATAAAAGAACACGAGTTCTAATCCTTCTTGACTTACAGCAGATGATGGATTAATGAGAGATCCTTTACTCCCACAAATTATTTGACAAATATTACTACTGACAGACATTGGAATGCTTTCCCGTGGCTAAACTTGTACATTGCTCTCCATATTATGGGAGGGAAAATACCATAAAATCCCAAGAGCTGAGTGAATTTAGTCACAGAGATGAAAGGAAATAGAAATGATAAACTATTTATTGATAACATCTGCATATATCACACAAGTAACTATGGGTGGCTTACAGAATTAAGGTCAAGAAACCCTTCAAATGTAACCACCCAGTGCCCAATTGTTTTAAACACCCATACTAGCTGAGCTTATCTCCACCCTGGCCCCAATGCCTAGGGGATCAGCCAGGCCTGCAATGTTTTCCAAATCTTGAGCGGGGGGGTGGGGGTGGGGGTGGGGGTGGGAATGCTGTTCCACAGGGCAGGTGCAGCCATTAAGAAGGCATTTAACAAAATGGCATGGTTCAATAAAAAGGATCTAGAGCGTGCTCTCTCTACTAGATCTGGTGAGGCGGGCAGAAACAATAGGAGAAAATCAGGCCTGCAAGTAGCCTAGCCCTATGCCATGAAGAGGCTTTATAGGTGATGACGAGTACCTTGAAGTGCACTCAGAAGCCTACTGAGAGCCAGTGTTGTTACCTGGGTGTAATGAGAAATACCAAAATTGCCTGCACTGCTGCATTCTGAACCAGCTGCAGCTTCTGAGTGCTCTTCAAGGTTAGCACCATGCAGAACACAATCACAGTAATCCAAACAGGAGATGACTAAGGCAAGGTCACACAATCCAGGAAAAAGGTGCAGTTGGCACCCAAGACAAAGTCGTGCAAAAGCCTCCCCCCACTACTCTTCAGCTCCCATCAGCTCTTCAAATAAGAGCTGAGAGTCTAGGAGGAGCCCCAGATGGTACCCCAACTCTGACTGACTGAGGAGAATGGAAAATTCCCCAAACCAGGGGACCCTAAAACCCACAGTGACTATGTCTTGCCAGAGTTGAACCGAAGTCTGTTCTCTCCCATGCAGACCCCCACAGTTTTCAAGCCCTAGGAAAAGACCTTGAAGCTTTCCTAGGTTGGCCGAGGAAAGAGGTGTACAATTGGGAATCAGCAACGTAGCAGTGATATTATATTCTGGCACCTCAGCCGGTGTTTTCACATAAATGTTAAATAAGAATGAGGAAAGGGTAAAGCCCTCAGGTACCTCACAAAATAGGGAGCTCAGGCTCAACCGCTCCCCTCTGCCACCACTGACTGGAACCTGGAGAAAGGAGCCGTCATAATACTACTTCCTACACCTAATCCCTTGACTTGGCCCAAAAGGATAACATGATGGTATTGAAGGCCACTGAGGGATCAAGGCGGGCCAGGAGGGATACCCTATATATTACCTTGTTATCCATTTTATACAGGACTTCAAAAAGATTAATACAATCGTTGCTAGATGTCCCAGGTAGGCTTAGGAATAGAATTGGGTGGTCAGTTTCCATATGTTTGCTCAATCATCACTGATTTTTGAAAAATTCTGAAAAATAATCTATTATTTATCTTTTGCATCATTGTTTTTTCTTCTCTGCACAGTTGTGTTTTTTACTTTTAAGGTGGTTCTTTGATCATAAATAAAACTGAATAAATGAAAAAAAAGAATGCAGTCAAATTTAGAACAAGCTTATCAAGTTCTAAGAACTGCCAAAAGGCAAGTGTGCAAATTGTGTGAATTGTCCTTTTGCATTTCCCGTGACCTAGCACACACCGATTGTGACTAGTGGCTTATTCTTACTAAAACCTTTATTTGGGCATATTTATTTTTTTAGTCAGGGCGGAGTAGATTTGTATATCATTCTGATGGAGAAACATTGTTAGAACAGTCAAATTATTTTGAATTTTGAAAATCAATTTACTGCTCTGACATTCTACCTAGAACTGAGATTCATCCCAACTAATTTAGAAACCTAAGACTGTGAAGAGATCTGAGAAAGAATGTTATTGTACAAAAGAGAAAATCAATATGTGATACTCCCACTGGTGTGATCCTGTGTACCTGATGATACCAAAAGGAATGAAAGTCCTTAATGTAAAATATGTAGGAGAACAGGGATTCTCAGATCTGCTCAATTTCTTCTACTACTGTGTGTGATGTCATGATTCCAAAATAGTCAGAACTAATTTCTATTAGTTAACATTGAGTAATGTAATTGGCAGTATTATTATCACATTATAATGATTGAGTATTACATTATTGGAAGTCTTCTGCACTGGAATCTGAAACCCTTTTCTCTATGGAAGTAGCTATTTCCACAAATGTAGGGCTGCTAGCTTCTCTGGCTTCATAGAACTTTAAAAAAAAAATAGTAATATGCAATTTCCCATCTTGTTGTTCCAGAAAGTTGCACAGACTCTAAATATGTTTGCATGACCTATCTTATGCATATTAATTATGTTACGCTTCTCCTCTGCAGAAGGGAAACCTGCCCACGACTGAAGTGTAATTAATGATGCAAAGCTTTTTGGAAGAGTGTGATTGTTTTCCCTTATTGCCATGTGTTTTTGTTCTGACCCTCTTTGTACATAATATGAGTGTGCAATTGTTTTTACTCTGCTAACCTGGTTCCTGTCTCTGGTTTTTTGGGTGTTGCTGTTTGTGCCGTGGCCATATGTTCACTTGCATGCAGTTGAGGAAAGGCCCTCCTGTGCCACCACCTCCAAAACTCACTCCATCCAAGGAGATGAAGCAGGAGAACATCATCAACCTGTTTGATGACAATTTTGTCCCAGAGATCAGTGTGACAACCCCCTCACAGGTTAGCTTCTCCTTCTTCCCTTCCCTCTCTTGACCTCTCTTCTATTGTTTCCCCTCCACTGTTCCCCTCTTTTCCCTACTAGAGGTGTCAGGCCAAGAAAATTGTTCAGAGGGTAAGCAATCAAAGGGGTTTGAATTGGGCCAAAGGGATAGTGAATCGGAACCCCTAAACATTGGTGGGATCTTGATTGGAAATAGAACAGGGAAGAAAATATATTATAAACAGAGTACCTGCTTTCTTCCTTGGCATCCTTCAGTAGGATTTCCAAACTAAATAGGAGAAGTGTGTGGGGTGGGGGAGGAGGAGTGGACTGCAAAACGCATAGAAATCAAGACAACAGATTTTTAAAACACATTCACATCAAATAATCCTAGCACTTGAGCCACTCTTTAAATAGAAATTCTCACACAATGGGTTGGAACCCCCAGGTGGCTGTGGATAACCTGAGCACATTTCTTCTTTTTAATCTGACACAATTTGTCCAGACAAAGTCAGAGCACTGTCAAAACTCAATCTGGACTTTGCTCCTTGTTTTGTCTGCATGGATTTGCAGTGGACAGTTACAAGATGGCAATGGTTGATTAATTAAAATATAATTGTGCTGTATTTATTTTTTCCCCCAATGGAAATCATTAGTTTTATTTATGGTGAGCTTTGGTCCCACAATATTTGAGAATTCCTGACACAAATGAAGTTCTTGACATTTAAATCTCCCTTATCCAAAAGAATGGAGTTGAACAGTGTGAATTGGAGCGCCAAACATGGGCTTCTCACTTGCTTGATTTCCTTTAAAAGGCAGTGGCGGTGAGATCATTTTGTGCTGTTATTTTTCTCAGCTAATACATGGGCAGGACTGTGCCTTTTTAAAAGCTTGTGCAAGAGTAATCTGAAGTTTCATTGTGAGCCTTCCTTGTTTATTCAAAACAAGCATGGGCAATTGTTCTTGGCAATTATTTTACGTGATAAATGTTCTCTCTGCCAATGGTTTTAAGAGTTTGGGATTATATTGAGAGAGCTCATTCCCTAGCCCAATGATTTGCGTTTAATTATTTTTACAAATGACTAGCATTCACCAGCCCTTCAGAATCTCAAGACCTCCCAAGCTAATCTCTAAAATCAAATTTGCTAAGGGACTTACCTGACCAATAGGTGAACCTTTTTTTGATGACTCAACTTTAGATACTATGATGAGATTAAAAAAGCAGCCTGACCAGTTTTCTGGCCTCATTCTCACAACTTTTGTCAACATCATCATCATCATCATCATCATCATTGTGATAAATGCTCTTTTATAAAAAAATATTCATAAAAAGCAATCAATGGCACCTCTAGAATGTATGTTTCCTGACTCCATTCTTCCTTCCCTACCTCAGCACGGTGGCCTGCGGCTTTTACCTCTTCCTCCAGTTCGACGACTGAAACTTTGCGTGAAGGGCCTGAATTTGGGAGAAAAGGCAAGTGTAGGCCTCAGGTTGCCAATGTGAGGGGACACCCCACAGAGGCAGATGGACACTGCACGTAGTGTTCAATAGTTTGGTGGATCAGAATTTCCTTTTCACTCTGGGATAGAAAGTGAGATACAAAATGACTATTACCAAGTTTTCAATCTATTTTTTTTTGTAAAACTTCAGTTCTCAGTTAGTACTAGACAAAGAGTAATATGGAATCATCCTGACATGTGCTAACACTGGCAGTGAGCGTCAGATAAGTATCAGAGACCTTTCAGACTCAACTGGAAACCCATAGAAGAAAGGAAAAATGACCAGTTCATCATGTTAACATACTTAACATTTGTGTTTCTCTCTATAGACTGAAGTATTACACTTGGGATATTGGTTTATTGTTTAAATAAAATTTAGGCCTTGCAGAAGCTTAGAAGATTCTGTTCTCTATCTAAAAAACTCCCCTTTTGAACTGCTGCAAGCATAGTAGGCAAAAGTTTTAGATATTGTGTCTGTCTCTTTTTCCCCCCTTGTGGTCCAAAGAGCTTCTGAAGTTATGGGGATTTAGAATGGGGAAAAGACATGAGAAAAAAAATAAGACATCTTCTGGGTTGCTATTTTTCCAGTCCCTAAGTATATGCAGATGTACAAAGATTCTAGCCCTTAAAAACTCCCATATATAGTTGGAGTAAACATGTCCTATCAAGTGTTGTTCTCAGTGACAGACAGAAGACAAATTTAACTCATAAGCAAGCATTTCTGTTTTATTTTTTGAGGCTAAAAAAATAAGACAATTTGAACTTTATGGGATTTTTTTTGACAGAATTGTTTCCATTCAGGAATTCCAATGGTAAAATTTGTCTATGCTTTAATGTTTGAGAAAGCCGTAGGCCACTGATCAGTCTTTCCATCCTTGTCTGCTCCTATCCTTTCCCTGTAGCATGCCTCAAGCATTTTTATGCCATGTTTTGTATTGTATGTATTTGCATAAAAACCCTTGCTTAAACAGAACATTCTGACTGGGACAGGTTCAGAATATAGGATACTTGAACTGGAGATATCTTTAGAAAAAAACTTGAATTTTTAGTAGATAAGGGGTGGGGAGTGATAGGTGTGGACACATTTCTATTTTTAGTGGGGTCAATTATTTAGGAAGATAGAGAAAACTGTCAAGGATGAAGACTCTTCAACATCTGGTGCAAGTGACAGGTAAGATTCCAGCATCGCTATGATCTCGTTTCAAAACTTTATTTCATGTACACAAAGCTTAAAAACTGGACCTTATTTCCAAACAAACTGTTGTCAGAACCCTTTAGGTGGAAAATAAGGGTTAACTATGAATGTTTAATGTTTATATTGTGGAGGTGAAGGAACAGGAAACATCTTAGCTGAATTAATTGGTGGATTTGCTTCTTTTTATAAAGAAAGTAAAAATTAAGAAATTACAGTAATATGCTATATAATCATCTAGACAATTTTTGCATGAAATATGCATATATATTATCAGATTGCATTAGTTGAAAAATACCAGATACCCATTAACTGATATATTTTTGTTTTCAGTTACTTGAATAGTAGAGATTTGGTGTTGACAATTGTTTTGTATTACCCAGTAAAAATTAGGAAATAATTTAGGGGCTTTTTTTGAATTACATTAAGCAGTATTATGAAAATGTTGTTTAATATTATCACTTGATAATATTCTGTCTTGCTTGGATGGAATATATCCTGAATGTTTATGGTATTCTGTAATTTATTATTATTATTAAAAATAAGAGCCCAGTAAGCAAACTGTCTTAATATGGTAGAATAGTAGAGCAATCACTTAGATACAGAATAACAGAGTTGGAAGGGACCTTGAAGGTCTTCTAGTCCAACCCCCTATACCATTTGGAGGCCCTATACCATTTCAGATAAATAAATTACCAGAAATAGGTTTTAAAGAAAGAAAAAGATGGTGGCACAGAAACATTGTAAGACTACATTAGAGATTTTCACAGAAAGTGCTATCCAATCATTTTTTTAAGGTAACCAAAAATGTGGTATCAATACAACAGTTGTGCTGGAAATTGTAGGTCCACTTGTAGGTTTGAAGCAGTGAAGCCTGAGAGTCAAGGAGTCCTTGTATGGATGTATGGAACTTGAAACTGATCTTTTAATAGACTGCCTAGGACAGTGGCATAACAAGTTCAGTGCATGAGCTTTGTAAAATGTTAATATTTGAATTTTATTATCTACTATTTGCAGAAGTGTTAAGCACATTATAGCCAATCAACATATATGAACATACATTTCATATATAACCTTTTGCACCCTCAGTTTGCAGATAACATCTTCCGCATACCATCCACCTTTTTTAACTGTCTAACCAGCAATTCTGATTTTTTCCTTTAATGCTGCCAAGTTTGATGCCCCTGGGTCCTTCCAGGAGGGAGCCAGCCTATTGGATCTGGATTTTGATCCCATTAAACCAGATAACAACCTTGTAGGGAAGTCGCCCACACCTGCTACTCAGGTTGGTTTACCCATTGTCATTCCTTAGCTCCATGATCAGGCATTAAAAACTTGATGAGTTCTTATGGGGAGAATTGTATGGTGTGACAGATGAACTCTTGGTGATTAAAACACATGCTTGAGTCTTGCATATATCTTGTTGATCAGCAGTAATATTTGGTGTTTATTTAATGTATTTAAGAGGTTCATATGCATTATTTCTTAGAATATTCCTACCTTGTATTACAGCCAGAGCTGTATTACAGTTGGAGAGAGGGATAATGGTTTGTCTTTAGCCAAGTTGCAATATTAGAGTTTTGGCTAAGTCTGAAATAGTAGAGATTTAGTGTTGGCATTTTTTTTATTATTCAGTAGATTCAATTTTTTTGAATGACATTAAGCAATATTATTAGCTCTGGGAACTTGTAGCAAAATCTTGGGATAACGGATACAAGATTACCATGGCTATTTTCATTCCCAGAGTTCCCTGTTCTCTGATAGCTTCCACTGACAGGATTGGGCTCGGCTGGGAACACTGTTATCAATGTTACATCACCAGAAAGCCTTAAAGTTAGGTCTTCTATGAGCTTGGTGGAGACAGACCGCAAAACTAATTTTGTTTTACTAGATACAGATCCATCGGTGGGCAATGAAACTCTGGGAAAAATAAAATAGAATGACACATTCCTTCTGCTAAGCCCCATACAATATGGCAAGACCCTAAGTAAGAGAGTACCTCCACCTTATTGCTCCTACCTTCTCCCACTTACAGTTTATTCTGTGGATGCGTGTCACATTCAATATATAGCTCTGAATGAGTTAGATAACAGTTCTTTGCTGTATATATTTAGTGATACTATGTAAAAGAATTGCATAAATTCCCCCAAACAGGAGAACTAAGGTAGGTGAATATACCTGTCCCAGGATAATGTTGCAGTATCCAATCTGGGTCAGTCACTGGGACCAGAGATTTTTGTCTTCCGAGCTTTCAGACTTCTGCCGGAGTCCATCCTCAGGGATGTGTCAAAGGGGTTGAGGATGGGCTCCAGCACAAGTCTGAAAGCTCAGGAGACAAAACTTCTGGTTCCGGTGACCGACCCAGATTGGATCCTGCAGAACTAAGGTAGTCTATAATCCTTAGATAGCAATCTTTCACAAGTATGATTGTAATAAATGATAATAAAAATTATTTTCTGACCAATGCAGGCATTTATGACAACAAAGGCCTTAAGTGTGAAAGTGATTAAGATCTGGTCAGTTTTAGACATCGCTGTGAGCCTAAGAGTTCTAATGGACTAATTAAATGTCACAAAGCTGAGCTTGTTAACTTGTGCTTTGCACTTTTTTGCCACATACTTGCTGCCAAGAAAAACAGTTCAGGAAGTGAGCTTGTTTAAGCAATCCCTCTGTCCTGGAAGGAGGGAAAGGGAAGAAAAAAGGGTCAGGCACAGGGCACTATCTGAATGAGAGGGCAGCAGCCAGTGATCTTCGTAGTGTTTCTGTCTCACACATCTCAGTCACATTTCACTGGAACCAATTGCAGTCACTAAAAGAAGACTACTGTATAATTGTCATAACTACTGTATCAACAGATAATTGAAAGATTGTCCAGATTGCTTTATGCAATAAACTCTATAAAGCATGTTCCCATCACTCATGGTGAATGGTGATTAATAATCAGGCATTCCATAGACTTTTATTAGTTAGATGCCATTGAGTTAGATGCTCATGGTGACTGCATAGGCAAACACTCTTCATTTTGTACAGTATTTAATTGTGACTCAGATTTCTTTGAAGGACACTTCTTTGATCCCATCCATTCATCTTATGTAGCATCTTCCCCCTTTTGAGTACTGAGTTATTTAAAGAACTCAACTACTGAAATTGATTGATCCTGGGCCAATCAACTGACCACATAGAATCATTATCTGCAGGAGGATCTGTTCCTAACTTGGTCCTTCAAGTCCCAACTACTGAAATGGACCATGCAAAATTATAAAACCACATTACTTAGTTTCAGTGTATGATGTTACTAAACATTTTGTGGCCATTTGGTATTTTTGCACTTTTTATGTTATTTGAAATAATGAAGACTTAATGCTTTTTTCCCATTGCTTTTTGCTATGCTTAGTCTTTGCCTTGGGATTTATGGGAGGTAAGATTTTTGTTTATACAACTTTCACTGCAAAATTATGATGTAACACTTGGTGTTTGTAAAGGTTACTTTGCACCATTATTATGCAAAGACTGTTATATGTATCTTGAGCCTCTATTCTCCTTGAAGGTACAACGATTTAGTCGCTTGGTCAGATCCTCCCACATTAAAAACGTTTGGTAAATTTAACAGTGTAAGGGACAGCATTATTTTTATTGTTTTCATATTTTAGATAGAAAATATCTTCCTATTATGAGCAATGGCTGGTCAAAATTTCCTTTTATGCTGGGAACATGGCAGAGGGGTGGGGAAGCCTTAGGGTTTTCTGATGTCATCTCTTCTCCCACATTCCCATTTTGGCCATTTTGATCTCAGATATTCCAGCTGTTGCTTTGGAAGTTGGCAGGGGTGATAGAAAGTGGAATATTTGAAGAGATCTCCCTTGTGTTCTGGAGACCATTCACAAAGCATCCCATAGGCATAGAATTGCTTTTAAGAGGCATGGAATTGCTTCTTAAAAATAAATAGATTTGCAGTTTGCCAAATTAATATAGATAGCTTTATGATACATTGAACAAAACACAAACTAACAGGAGAAATACCATATTTCACAAAATGTATCTTTTATGTCATTGCACAAAGAAGAGAAACATCCTAAAATGAAGATAAGCACTTAATTTTAGAGATAGATAGATAGATAGATAGATAGATAGATAGATAGATAGATAGATAGATAGATAGATAGATAGATAGATAGATAGATAGATTCCATTCAATTTTGTCTGATTCTTGGAGACTGCCTGGAGCCTGATGTTTTCTTGGCAAGGTTGCTGAAGTGGTTTGCCAATGCCTCCTTCCTAAGGCTGAGAGAAAATTTGTGGCCCAAGGCCACGGAGCTGGCTTTGTGTCTAAGACAGGACTAGAACTCATGGCCTCCCAGTTTCTAACCTGATGCCTTAATAACTATATCAAACTGGCTCAATAATAATAATAATAATAATAATAATAATAATAATAATAATAATAATAATAATAATAATAATAATAATAATAATAATAATAATAATAATAATAATAATAAAGTTGGAAGGGACCTTGGAGGTCATCTAGTCCAACCCCCTGCTCAGGCAGGAAACCCTATACCATTTCAGACAAATGGCTGTCCACCCTTCTTAAAAACTTCCAGTGTTGGAGCATTCACCACTTTTGGAGGCAGGTTGTTCCATTGGTTAATTGTTCTAACTGTCAGGAATGATAAAATTCTTTGGTTTAAAAAAATAATATAGTTTTCTTTGTTGGTTTAGGTTGCGTGTGGTAGTGTCTCAACAGCTCTAGTTTCATGTCATGGCACTTTGTGATATCTATCGTTATTTCTAAGTTTGTATTGAAATGAAGTTGACAGTGATATAATATTAAGTGCTATCAAATCTTTAATCTTGTTAATATATTTGGGATTTTTAGAATCAGTACTTATCAACTACTAATATTTTACTTCTTTATGCTCTTGTATTTTTAAAAGCCTCGTTCTGATTTCCTTCATTTATAATGTTTAGTTCTAGCTATTGTTTTCTGACATAATTATAACGGGATCGTCAGGTTATGCAGGTATATAGTAATAGCTTTAAATTAACAGTGGGATTGCAATTATTATTGGACCAGTGATTGCTGTGTATAGCTCACTTAATTTCAAGTAGTATTTTTATTATTCTATTTAAACTGTGGCCTATTAGTTACTAATAATTTTTCTCCATTAAACAATTCTAGATCCAGTTTTAATCTCACACAATTCTAAACCATCTTCAATGGGAATGTAAAATTGTCACTCTAACCTGTATTCTACTAATAGATTTTCCATGCTTTCTCCTAGAAAAAAAACATTTATGATGAGTAGATAATGAGTTAAAATGCAAGCTCTCAATCCCAGACATTGCAGGAAAGATGGAAAGTTATTTCAGAATCTGTCTTTCAGATCTATTTAGAATAAAACAACAGTTTACAGTAACATCCAGGAAGTCACTGGAAATCTGATTTTCTTTACAGCTGATGTGCAGACTCCAGTGTTTCTTTATTCAAATTTAATTATTTATATTTCAGCAAGATTTTGATTTTAAGGAGAAAGGACAATTAAGGATAAAAGCCAAGCGTCCTTTTAAAATTGAATAAGCAATATAATGAGAGTTCACATAAAATGACAGAAATAGTTAGAGGAGAGAATATTTGTAGTTTTCAACCAAGCACAGCGAGCACCAAGAACCCCAGAGAAATACTTATTTTAGGAAGTTTGGAGGGGATTGGGCAAGAAGGTGCTGTTTTTTTCTGACTGCTGAGCCAATATTGTGAAATAGATTGGATTACTTCAGTCTCTGTTGGTTTCCTGCAAATTTTTAAAGAACTAGCTTTTTTGGAGAGCCTGCCTCTGATTTGAGTAGTTATTGCCATCTGTTATTCTCTTTCTATTTTTTGTAGGGTTGTTGTATTTTTAATTTTTATATGGGGTTTATTTTGTATTATATTTTTTATATGAGTCATTGAGTCATTTTTGTTTGTGGTGACATACAACTGTGTTTAATAAATAAATTAAATATAGCACTGCTATATTATTAACATTGTATACCTTCCCCAATCCGTTCCCCCTCCCCTATTCAAATAATTTCACACTTTTGCTTGGTTGCATACATAATATTGCACCGTCTTTCCCTTATTAATTATTCAAAATATAAAAAAAATGACTCTTATCAGCTCAACAAATCTAATTGCCCTGGCCTGGAACATTTTCAGTGTTTATCTTCTCACAGTATTTTTTATTATTGTATCTTCTTGTACCCATTACTTTATCTCCCTGCTGCAAATTTCTGTTTCTCTCTTTTCCTCAAATTTTATATGTCTGCCTGAAAAACAAACAAACCCTCCCTTCAGCAGTGTGCAATTTATGGATTATTTTCCTGCTGATAATTTTAGCAATAGTGCATGTGTGGTAGACTGGCCAATTAGCCCACCCAGGTTATCAACCAAGTAAATAAAAAATGGTTAAACTAACAAATGTTCAAAAATGTCCTTCTTGATTGCTGTGCTCCTTACCAGGAGTTACCTAGTTGCTAGTTTTCTTTGGCCTTCTTTACTTAGCACACTTCATTTCCAATGAAATTATAATTTAATTCCTATTAAATCAATAAGGTGGGATCTACTGAAATTAAAGTTCTAATTTGATTTGGAACATCTTTTTTTTAAAATATATTTTATTAGATTTTATATGGATAGGGAAAAGGTGGGGTCGGTGCGGGTACAGGAAAATCGGGATAAAAGGGACAGGGTGTGGATAATTACAGTAAATACGTAATTCAGCGAACAAGCTGTCGTCCGGGTCTTCATATTAAGTATTATTGTTTATATAATACTAGACATTTATAAGAATAAATCAGTATAGTTATAACTGACATTTGGTAAAACACTAATATTCCTTTAAATAATTAACATAGTTGATAGCATAACAACTATTTCCAATCATCAACCTTAATACTTAATATAATAAAACTCTAAAATCTCTTCTTATTCTAATGTGTTTCAACCCACTGATAAAATTTTCCCCAGGTTTTATAAAAGATTGAATCTTCTTTCTCCTTCATCTCTAATGTTAATCTGTCCATTTCTGCACAGTCTAGGATTTTCAAAATTATAATCTGGTCTGATGGTAGGTTTTCATTTTTCCAAAATTGGGCAAATACTATTTTTGCAGCTGTTAATACATGTAATATTAAATAATCATTTTCTTTGCCATAGTTAGGTCTTAATATACCTAACAGGAACAGTTTGATTTGGAACATCTTTTAATTGTTTATAACCATCTTTAGTGTGGATATCCTTTTATAATAACCCGCCTTTTGAATTTGAAAAATTGTACCCGGAACATTTGAAAAATTGTACCCGGAACATTTGAAAAATACCAATAAAAATTCTCATTAATTACAAATATAAATTGTAAAAATATTTATATACCACTCTTCTTCAGACAACTCAGGGTAGTTTCAACAAATGCTAATTTGTTTAAGAAAATAATTACAAAAACTTGTCCTCCAAATTCACCAGAACTCAACTCAGATTTGAAGGAGAACTTTTTATTTGACGTTTTCATTTCATTTATTGTATACTAAGAAAAAAAATCCAAAATCAATAGTTGGGTGATATCTTTTCTTTAATTTGGGATTTTATAATTTTTTCCCCTTGTGACTATAACATAACCTTGTGTTATAACTTATAGTAATATATAGCATAGTACTTAATTTGGTATAGTAAGGTAATCTATACTAATGTATATTATAGAATATCCCTTTGTCCTGATTTCAGAAATTATATATTTTTTTAGAAATATTCAAGCTTTTCAATACATTAATAATTTATGTTTTGTTTGGAGGTTGGAAGGTTGTTTGAGAAAAAAACATTATTAAATGGAGGAGATTATTAAAAGTATATTAAAAATTGGCAGAGTAGATTTTTTCTTCTCATAATACTAAAGCTGTGACTCAAGATTCTGGACCACCACCCACCACCAACAAAAACTACATTATTTTCTGCAACAAAAATATCACCTTTTGTTAATGGCTTCAAAAAAGAGATGGGACAAATTTGTGGAGGCCATCTTAATGGGCTTCTCATAATGGTGGTTTGGAAATTTCAGTCACGGATAGGTTTATTGATTTCAGGTAGTCCTTGACTTACAACATGTCATTTAATGATGGTTCAAAGTTATGACAATCTTGGACAAAGTGACTTATGATTTGTTCTTGTGCTCACAACCATCATACCACCCACACAGTCACATGATCACAGTTTGGGTGCTTGGCAGCTGGCTCACATTTATAACATCCTGTGATCATGTGATTTCCAGCAAAAAACATCCACTGGGGAAGCTGGATTCACATAACAATCATGATGATTTGCTTAACAGCTGCTTTTAAAAAGTAACAGGTTCTGTTGTTGAAAGAAAGCTTATTGCCAAATTAGAATTAATCATAGTTTCTTTTTAGCTCTCCAGTCTCTTTGTCAGCCACATTTACATATTTTATTTAAGAGAACAGCAAAGAACTAGAACAGATATGGTAGGTTTCACGTGAATAGAAACAATAACAATAATCGGGGGGGGGGGTGGAATCTGGAATTTTGCAGTTATATGGAAATCAGAACATCCTGGCTATGCTCTTGATTTATGTGCTGAAGAAAACCCTAGCTTTGGAAAGGTGTAGAGGTGATTGCCAAGAATATTTTTAGGTGGGAAAGTGTACAACTTTTTTTTTGGTTCGAGCAATGTTGAAACAATCTTAATTGGCTAGCTTTCATACAGATAGTCAGATCATGCTTCTGTTTTCTCTTCCACAAGAAGAGAAACAGTACAGGAGGGACTAAAGAGACGAACTTCCTTTAAATCTCACATTTAGAAATATCAGAGGACAGATGGGCTTGACCCAGACAAGGCAACTGTTACAATTTAATAAAAAGCTAGCATTCTAGCCTAAGAACGATTTACTTCTCGTGAAGGTGATGCAACATCGACTTGCCAATACAGTACACAAATTGGAAGTGTATTGATACCAAAAATCTTGCAGCATGGACATGGCTGTTCATCAAAGAGATCAAGCAATTCAGCGTTGGCCTTCAGAAACCGATAGTTCAGACAAGCCCTAAAAACAGAGCAGGTCATGGCATTTCTCTGCAAAGGCATGGGATTGGTTAGCCATTTTGAGATCCCAAAGTTTAACTGCTTTTGTGTTGTAGCCTACAGAAGCCACTCCTGGTGAGGCTGAGGGAGCTGGCAAAGAAGAAACAGCTGGAGCTGAAGCAGCTGCTAAACCCGAAACTGATTCAGGATCTGCCTCAGTAAGACAGTAGGCAAGGGAGAGGGAAGAGGGTCTCATTCTCCCCTAACCGTTGTTCACATTTAATATGAGCAGATGTGAACCCATTGAAGATTAAATGTTTAGCATTTCTGAGCAGTGGATTAATCCCCAGTTGGAGACTCTGTTGATTTGGACTATAGAACAAAGGCCATTATTCATTCAGAGATGGTCTTCTCTTTGATGCAAACAGCTAAACATATTCCTGCAGCGTTTGCAATTCATCTGAATTAGGAGGAATATATCTGCTTCAGTCCCAGTTAATCATCTTGGAACTTTTATGTGTATCCAACATCTGGGACCTTAAAAAAGAAAAGTTTTCCATCGCCGAGGCTAACTTTCATTTGTTCAGCATTTCTAGTTACAATTTGATACCCTTACAAAATCACAAAGAGCTATTACTGCTGGGAATGAGAATGATTCTGAGGACACAGAAATTAGATATATCCATGGTAAACATCAAAATCAATTTTAGATTTTTTTTTAACAAAGGGAGGAAATTGACCAGAATTTCTGCCTCTTACTACAAACCTAAATGTCTTGTAGCAGAATCTGTTATTTACTCCATTAATCTTTATGCACACCAATTTCCCTCTACAATTTATTGCCTTCTGTGGTTTCCTTTCCATTTTTTCCTAAGTCATTCTCTTTACCTCAGCCACACCTCACACCTAAATCCTAACTTCCACAAAATACTGATACCTAATGACTATTTGAATAACGGATTCATGTTCAGAAATGGCTACAGGGAGGGTTTGCTCAGGGTCCTCTATGTACTTTTCTCAACTGGGTCTAACTTTGGTGCCTTTAACCCTGTTTTATTTCCCTCAGAGTTCTCTGCCAACTGTAGTTGTGGAGACTTTCCCTGCCACAGTTAATGGAACCGATGAGAATAGAGCCGTCTCTGAGAGGTCTGACATGCCACCAGGGTTTCTCTTCAAGGTAAGTTTCTATGGTAAAGGTGTACATGTAGCCATTTCATTCTGTGTTTTGAATAGCCGAAGCTGTAAAATGGAGAATGGATTCAGCCCTTCATGAGAACTCAGTGCACAATTTTAAATGTGTCTAGTCTGGATACAGGAAATACACACTATTTTGGATGTAATCTGTTACTGAATTTCTAAAAACTAATACATTTAATTATTATTTATATATATATAAATTTAAATTTATATGCCACCCATCTTACTGTCAAGTGACTCTGACTAAGCCTTGTTTTTTAGAAAGAAACAATAGAAAAACTATCCCAAAATAACTGCAAAAAATAACTGAAACAATAAAAACAATAAAACTATAAAAACATAATCTACAGGCCAGCACCAACTCATTTTCCTAAAAGTAACAATCATCATGTATCATAGAGCTTTCCTGAATACGTAACAGTTTAAGGAGAAATGGAGCAGCAGATAGACTGCAGTGTAGTATGTAAGGGTTCAGCTGCATTATATATTTATAGATATGAAACAAGAACTCCCCCAATCCTGACTGTGGAACCATTATTCTTGTGCAGGTACAAGCCATGCATGATTATGCTGCTACTGACAGTGATGAATTGCAGCTAAAGTCTGGAGATGTGGTCTTGGTGGTTCCATTTGAAAATCCAGATGAGCAGGTATGGTGATAATGTAGCAGGTGTGTTTCATAACTAACATGGTTTGATAAATTCCACATTGTTCCAGTTTCAAGAAGACTTCAGTTCAAATCTGCATTCTGCAATGAATGTGTGACCTTCAATAAGTCAAAACATTTCAGTTTAACCTCTTGATAGACAAGATAATGAATACATCTCTACTTCTTCAGATAGTAGATTATCTCTTTAATATGACATTTTCCTATGTAGAACTAAATATTGCATGAGAAGGATGTGGTTTAATAGAGATCTACAGTATAAAGAGATGAATATTGATTATTGAATTTCCTAATCCAATGCAATCTCCAACTAAGGACGTTATCCTTGTTTAGTGTTACTTTTAAAATTGTACTATATATAACTATTAGTCTATAGGTTTATCTAATTAGATCAGGAGAAGGAAATCAAAATACTACAGTGGACAGTCTCATTGCCCTTGCAACCAGTAAAATATTTTCTAAGTATTAAAAAAGGACCTCTTAATTACCTCAAAGTAATTTAACTTACCTAAAAAAGGTGAGTTAACATACCCATTATTGTACTCTCTGCTGTTTTCTGATTTCATATTTGCTTTTCATCGCGCTCTCTCTGCCCTGCAAATGTCTAAAAGCTGTGATGGTAATAGCTATCAGTACAATATTTTTTCTCTGTCTTGTTCATGTTTTTTTTGAATACCAGTAGATGGCACTGTGTTCTTATAGGTCTTTATTGCATTCATTCATTTTTGTAAAGAGAGTGAGCTGAAGATGGAAATGTAACTTAGCCAATTGTACATTTTGTTTGCATGTTTTTTCCTATGTCTCATTGTAGATATTAGTGTTGTATCAAACATTAAAAAGGATGCCTCATCTGTACAAGGCTTTGTCTGGATTTGGAGCCTTTCCTCCAGTTCTCTGAGTGGCTGTGCACATAGGGTCATTTCTGTTTGCTTTCTGTAGGAGAAAAGCAGGCTGAGCTGGAAAGCAAGGTTAAATGTGTCATCGGTTTGGAATCATTGCGTTGCCACAAGAAATCCAGCCTCCCCATGAATTCTGTTGACCCTAATCTAGTGCCAATTTAATTTTGACCATTAGTAGACTAGATTCTTTTATTAGAGGTAGCTCTTCTGGGCTTTGAACTTGACAAATGCTCCAGGTTACTTGCACCTGACACATTCTCAAGCAACAATGTTGATGTTGGCTGCTGGGGAAGGTTGTTTTCTCTCCAGCAACCAAAGGAGAAATGTTCTTGGAGGCACAGAACTCTATGACTGGATGGCAGGAGGCAGTCCTGCAGCAGGCCAGTTGGTCATCTACCTATTTCAGCCTTCTCTTTCATGCATTGATGAACTGATACATAGAAAAGGTCTGCCCTGTTTTTTCCAGTTTGCTGCTGGATCCATTCTCAACCTGCCTAAGCTGCTGGTTGGCTTTGAGATGGAGGTGCCAATATAAGGACAAATCCACAATGACTGACAGGTTAGAGCCTGGACAAAGAAGCTGTGTAGATAGGACTATTTAGCTTGGGGGGGAAAAGCAATTTCAGGGAAAGATAAATAAATATAAAATCACACATGACATGGGAAAAAGAAAGGAAATCCCTCATCCCCCTCCCAGTTTTCAAAACACTGGGACCAAGAATCAAACTACTGGAAAGGGATTTGGAGCAGATCAAAGAAATCATTGTTCCATACAAGGCATAATTAACTTGTAGAATTCATTGCCATGAGATATGGTGATTTTCGTCTTGAAGACTCAGTACAGCTCTGGGTTGGGAATAGCCTGCCTCCAAATCCCAGTTGCAGGAATAACTATGGGAAAAGAGTATGTTTCTACAGCACTTCCTGCTTGCAAGCACCCCAGAAGGATGAGAAGGAACACAAGGGTTGTTCACAAATGCTGCGATGAATGATAATAATCTTATCACCAATTCATAACTTTATTACTTGATTGAAAATTCAGTTTCAGTGAACTTTAGAGACAAGTAATACCTAGTGTTTGTTGCATCAACATTTTCTCTTTTTCTTCTGTCTCTTGCCAGGATGAAGGATGGCTGATGGGTGTGAAAGAGTCTGATTGGCTTCAGCACAAAGCATTTGACCAATGCCGGGGAGTTTTCCCAGAGAATTTCACTGAGCGGGTGCAGTGAGGTCTTGCAGCTCCTTAGAAAGCAAGAGGTGTCTTCTCCCCCTCCTCCTGAGGAAGGTCTAAAAAAAATAATTGAAAGAATGTTTTTTTTAAAGCAGCTTAAAGGTTGGATTCTTCACAGAGAACAATGTTTTAGAAGTCCACTGAATCAAAGTATTATCAAAGATATAGATAATAAAGAAAGACAGGTTGGGAAAAATCCTTTTTCTGTTTGAGTTAAATAAGGTCAATTCAGAAGGTTGTCACTGAGTGGTGGAGCGATGTTGTGTGAAATAGGATGTGCTCAGCATTGTAAGCTGTGAATCCTAGCAGTCCTGTTCTCCTGAAACTACACAATAAAGTTTTATCTTGTGGGAAGGCACGGTCAACCTGTTTTGTGGCTGAACTTGTTTCTGTGGCTCTCCCTGCAAATTATACAATCCTGCTGCCCCAGGTCCAATGCCTGTCGTGTGTTTTGTGTGTGTGTTTGTGTTCTCCTTTTGAAAAAAATTAACCAAAATTCATACGTTTAAATGAAAATGCTTATTGGAAAGAAAGTAAGCCTGGTCCTTGAAGGGTATGGTTTAGGAATGACATTAGTACCTGCATTTTTGGTCCTATAAGAAACATTCATAAGGGGGAAAAGTATAAACATAGTTTCTTTATTGCTATTGTTTTCATAATGTACTGAAATTGAGGGTTGGCGCTGGCTACAAATTCTGCACTGTCTGATAGAAAGAGGTGATGAAGAGGAGAGATACATATAATTACACCAATGCAGCTGATTCTGGCATGATGTTAGAGGTCACATAAGTGAAGTGATGGAGTAACTGCTTCATTTGTATAACTTCTAGCTGTGTTTGCATTGCTCTGCATCCTGAACAATTATTCCCTGTGCCCTTGCTCTTAAGATGTATTTATCTTGTATTTAAAAACTATAATGGGTGAAATTATACGGCAACCATCTCTCAGCTGTAAAAACCCAAACAATCACTAAATGGTTGCAAAAGGTTAGAGGTTTTTTTTAAAATGTTGTTGCTACCACATAGTGATTGTCTAGAGCAGGGGTAGTCAACCTTGGCTCTTTTATGACTTGTGGACTTCAATTCCCAGAATTCCTGAGCCAGCTCAGCTGGCTCAGGAATTCTGGGAGTTGAAGTCCACAAGTCATAAAAGAGCCAAGGTTGACTACCCCTGCTCTAGAGTTTATCTAGCTCAGATATCATAGCCTCACTCTCAAACCACTGCACTATAAAATGCCAATTTGGAAATAATACTCCTTTGTGCGTTTCAAATTGTGTTTAAAAAAATAACAGAAGCAACCAAATGAGAAAATCAGTGAGGCTCCTTGCTTTGCTTCCCATTACTAATTTTTCCTTTGTAATATTGATTTGCAGAGAAGAGCTAGATCTTTTCTAGGGTGCATTATGAATTTACGAAGAACAGGCAAGGGAAACATTGTGTATCCAAAGTTCTTTTTTGTGGTTATTGGGACCCTCAAGATCGAACTGCAAATTCACTGGGATTTTCCCAACCATAGCAGTGTGATTTTCCACAAATCTTTTTTGCAGAAAACAAAACATTAATGCACCTATACGTTACTTGAAGGACAGCTGCAGCAATGGTCAATGACTGGAAGAGCAAATATTCATTCTATGCTATATACATACAACTGCTGAGCTCTTCAGATGTTTTATTGCTATGTTCATTTGTTTCCTTTTCCTTTTTTTAATTTAATTTTTTATTTGGCTTCAAAGGTTTTTTTTCCTACTACCATCTCTTGCATTGGAATGCATAAAAATTCTTACATTCGACAATCTGATAAAATGTAAGGTAGCTTTAGAAAAGCAGGATAAGCCAATTTTCACTATTGGGAAAAATCAGCCTAGGTTTCTAATGGTCTGTAGAATCACATGTTGTATGTGAGTGTAAGAAAATACAACATCTCTCGATGATAGATTCACGGGTGAGTTTTCTCCTTTAGTCAGCAACAGATCCTGGTTCAATAGTGTACCACAGATGTAAAGCACCATCCAGAGTCATTGCACACTCAAGAGTACATGCATATAATCAGGAGAAGTGTGTGTCATTGTATTATTGCACACACAATTAAAGCCATTCCATCTGCCATCATAGAATAACTTTAGTCTTCATAACAAGGTTTCAAAACTCCTTATCTGACTCAGTGGAATTTCTAATTTCTTTTTGCTTTGGGGTTAGCCTTAATACATTCTAGGAATTGGGGTCCCATTATTTAAATTCCACTGCCATTTCTTAAAATTAGCTTTCTGCAAAGCTGCAATTTGCTCCATGATAGACAACAGTGGGCAATGCATGTATCTCTGCATCAATCATAATTTGCCATTAAAACTATTTTTATGCATTTGTAGACAAATTTGTATTCCTAAACAAAACATATAGAGTGGTTTTAAAGGAATATCAACAAGAAATATGTTTATGGAATAAAGAAGGTCTCCGTGGAATATCTATTTTTATAAAAGAAAAAGTCCTATGAAATTTGAGGAAAAAAATTATCAGAAAGTATCTAGCCTCTAGTACATAGAACTTTTAGCTGAACTCATTTTCTCTATTCTTGATATGTATTTTGCAGACAAATGCAAGGAAGAAATGTGGCAACCTTTCTTTCTTTTAAGGAAAAAATAATTATCCAGTACTGTATTATGTTCTTATTGATTCTGTATCTGATGCTGTGATATAGCTCCTGGCCTTTAAAATAATATTGATAAGCTTGTAGTTCTGAGGTCTCATTCATTTTTTCTCAGTTGCTGTGGATCTGTTTCAATTTGCTTCTGAAGAAATCTGTTCAATGAAAAGAGAATAATTCAATGGAAATAAAAAAAAACACAATCCAACATAGCCTGCATCTTCTACAAGGATGTAAAATAAAACTTGGCAATGCAAATTCTATTTTATAAAGGAATGTGCTTACATCACAGTCTTGGCAATTAACTGGCTAGATCTGTTGATTAAAATATTTAATTTACCAGAAAAATAGATTGGTCAGCAATTATCTTTTAACACGAGTGCTTATTAATTTGAATGACAAGACCTGTCTTGTATACTTTGAATGAAAGCTATGCTAAGATGATGATGTATACTATAGCTCATTTGTAATTTAAAAACAAAGTATATTTCTTGCTATAGAAATATTGGATTGAATTCAGTAGAAATCTTCTCTGGATAAAAAGCTGCCTTTTGACATTTGTTGTCCCTATGCCACCCTTTGTAATTCTCTGTGTCCATGGAAAATGTGCTGTAACACAATAGGATAAAACTCTTCTTTTGAGTAGATCTTGGATTGAGGATATTTCTGATAGTAAAACAGAAGCTCTTGTTCCAACCCTTTGTTTTCAATTAGAAATTAATTGACTTGGATTATAGCCCAGGACTGTATAGATCTGGATATATGATGATGAAAACATATTTGATCCATTTAATATTTATTGTTCATATGCTTGCTTAAATTTGGCAGAGTATTTACAACATAATTACTCAAAAGTTAAGTGTGTGTGTATAGGATTGTAATCTTGGCACATTCTTCAGTGTGCCAGCTATATTGGGCCAGTTTCTAAGAAGCCAAAAAAATCATTAGATTTTTAAATAGCATATTATATCTCCCTGAAAAACAAAGGATATGGATGTGTTAGGTTTAATTTAGGCATGGTTTGATTCGTTGTGATATAAGTCCCAAGTTTCAAAATACAAATAACTGTTACAAAAACATCATTATAGATTTTAATGGGAAGCATCTAAAAAAATAGGATTTGCTTTCTTTTTCTGCATAGGTCACTTCACCAAATTACATACAGAAAGCTCTGCAGCTGCTAGCTAAGCAAAATCTTAAGTTCAGAAATCAAATCATTTGGAGTTGAACTGAAAGTTCAATTGAACAAAATATGGAATACCAGGCATTCTATTAAGAAAGGCATCAAGATTGCTCAAGCAGAAATTCTAAGTTTAAAGCTGCATTTTCTGGCTCAACTAACTTAGCCCAGGCTCCTTGATGGAGTTCAGTGTACTGATTTCAATATAAAATTGTGTTACAGCTGTATAAAAACACCTCCATGGGGAACCCATCAAGTATAATACATTGTGTGAGAAGTTTGGACTACACAGATTGCAAACATGCACTAAGTTTTAATACTCCCAGAAACACAAACTTTGTACTAGTAAAAACTTTAAAAACCTTGCCAATGAACAATCCATAGACTAATGGATCTCTGTGTTACTTTATAACCAAGAATTTGAGACTAGTTCTTGGTATTTATTCGTCTAAGAGGAGGATTATACCAAATATGACCAATGTCCATGTTTATATTAGTTCTGATTTATCTGCTCCAGGTGTGTAGTATCATAATAGAAGGCCCACTGTTGGATTCACCACACATCACAAAACTTTGCTAGGCAGAGTAGAGTCTAAGAAAATTTTGGTCTTTTAAATTCTAAGAACTATTCCAATGTTGAACATCATAACACATCATACATCACATTCTTCCTGGATGCTTGGAAGAGATGTAGCCTGATTTTCTTAAGCATTTAAGGAAAAAATAATGTATGAAGTTATCAAATATTAGGTAGATTCCTCACGAAGAAGATAAATGTTAAAACTGAGTTCAAATAGTTCATGACCAAATAGAACTTAGTAAATTGTTATAAGGAATAATTATGTAATGAATGTCTAATCTAATCTAATCAATGAGATTTGCTGGTCAGCAAGTTTCATTCTACCTCCCGTCCCCCAGTCTATTTTTTTTCTCTTTTGTCTTATTGACTGCTAACATTTAACACGTAACAGCCAAATCTTTCCTGTTCTCATTTATTTCTTGAAACACACGTCCTCCCATGTTTGTTAATCAAGTAAATTAGCACTATTAACGGGGAAAAAACCCTTACACATGAAAAATAAGAACACTTTGATATCTACTGTCTATGCAATCCTTTTGCTTGGAGATACAGCTGATTCTTACTCCACTGTATTCCTCATGGATCCAATCGTTCTCTAACTCAATTTGACTCTGTTTGATCCTGTAACTTGCTATCACATGACATTAGGGATGATATTTCTTTTTGTCTTTCCAGAACAAACAAAAAGATCCTGGTGCATTGAGAACTGTAATTGTCACTTTGCTGATATATTTCATACATTTATTTATCCCTAATATTCAAAAATCAAAAATATATAATTTTGTGTCATCTTGCTTCCTTGTATATTGTTCTTTTTTTTTTTTTAAAAAAAAAGAAAACTTTTAAAAATGTTTAAAAATGTGTTTTTATCCTAGAGTCATATCTTTTTAGCCTGGGCCTAAACCAGTGGTTCTCAACCTTTTTAATGCCGTGACCCTAACCAGTTGTAAGTCGAGGACTAAAC